AAACCAAACAACAACACTCACGTTTTGTCACCTTGGACTCTGTCAAAAAATAAATTGTTTTTTGTTTTTCCAAAAAAGAGAAAAAAAAAATCAATTCGCGCCTGTCCTACCAAAAAAAAAACCAATAGGATAAATAATTAACGTGTACGCGTCGATCAAATAACAAACTTTTATTTTATCTTTTTTTCTGTAAAAATGTCTACAAAAAACAACAAAAGAAGAAAAGAAACTGCTCTTAGTGAAGTAAAAGGGTAAGCGTTTTAAGGATGGTGGTGGTTATCGCCCGCCACTCATCGTTACTCTAGTTTTTTCTAAAAATAAAAAATTTAATTTATTTTGCAAAAAACACAAGCAAACGAAGAAAAAATGATACTCACAACGACGAAGTAATCCAAGGGTAAGTGTTTATCATAAGAATGGTGGTGGTGGCTATCGCCACTCGCCGTCACTCTAGTTTATATTTATAAAATATTTATAAAACAATGTTACCAAAAAATAGAGATAATAAAAGAAGAAAAGACAATCAAAGCGGGTAAGTGTTTATCATAAGAATGGTGGTGGTGGTTTTCGCCACTTATTGTCACTCTAGTTTAGAGATAATTCTTGGCGTAAACATTAAAAAAAAAATAAAAAAAAAAATTCTTGGCGTAAACACATTTACTAATCTGTCTGCAACTTACAAAAAAAAAAAAGTCAAAACGCAAAGCAAGCAAGCTCGGAAGCTTCTAAAAAATGGAACACGGTCCTAAAGATTTTAGAGAAACCCAACATATCAAATCGCCTCCTCGAATACTTATGTTTTTTAAATACTGCTGTTACAGATAGACAAAGAACGCACAAAGATTGGATTGAAACAATTACCGACATCTCGAAAGATCATCCTGATGCACGGATTCGGAAACTAGCAGATAAAAGTGTCCATAATTATAAGGTTATGTATTTGCATTTTATTTGTACGAGATCATGGTGGTACCGCTCCTGAGTTCATCCTATGCTTTGGACTCAGGAATAGATCCTCTGCTTTCCTCCGCTTTTGGAGAGCAGTATCAGTGGGAAGATGGGAGCCACAGTGATCCTCTGCTTTCATCTTGTGGTATAATCCTCTGCTTTTACCCCATCTTTCACGGAGCTCGGTTTTCTGTTAGATCATCTTCTGCCTTGGTACCGCAGTAAATTAAGTCTCTTGTTTGATTAAATTTGTTTATATATTCTTTTCTAATTTAGAATGAAACTAAATCTCAAGTTATCACCAAATTCTGGGAAGATATTGGAAAAACAAAGCTCAGGAACAAATTATTTTCTTTACATTTTAATGGGTTTGCTGAACCGGTTAGTACTTACTTTCTACACATCGCACCATTTTCCCTGCTTAGAATATACTTTGCCTTTTTAATTTAGGTCGAAAATAGAAATGATTTATTTCCTAAATCCGAAGAAAATGAACTTCAAGATGTTCTGGTCAAAAATAGAAATGATTCAATCTCCCAATCTAAAGATGATGATCAAGATGAATTGTATACAGAGGACTTTAATAGTGACGAAGAACAACCCGAAGAGTGAGTAATGGCTTCTCTTACTTTAATGTTATATACTTATTCACATTATTATTCTTCTATATAGAGAGTATTTTGCAGACATTGTCGACCTTGATAATGCAACAGAACAAAAGAGACCTCCATTCTTTACAGTTGAAGAGTGGTTAAAAATTATTTCTGAATCACAATCACCACCAATAAAATTGCCTAAATCTGTTGAAGAACAACTCAACTGCTATTTGAAGGAAACAACTATCGAAAAAATTCGTGAATCATTCGAGTCATATAAAAAAGTAACTTCGGAAGAAGATAGATACACTCGTAAAGTCGCAGATCATTTGTAAGTGCCTTTGGTATAATTTTATTGTATGAAGAACCGAAATTAATCTTGATTAATAATACAATGATGTAGTATTTTTTGTCTCGAGAACCGACCAGAATATTTTGCACAACGACCAAGCACCGAGTCAACATTTCGTGTACGTTTTATTGAACCCATAATTGAGTCTTTTATTTTTATATTCAAAAATATGGATGTAACTTGGTAAGCAACTTTTTTTTTTGATGGGTTGTTTCTGTGATTAATAACTCTTTCTTTTTGATTGTAGGGGTGAAATTTCAAGCTTGCCCTCAGCAAATCGCCGAAATTTACATCTTGAAGAAGGCAGAAGACGTAGAATTGGTTCAAAAACTGATGGTATAGGATCTCTTGTCAATCTAGATGATAAAGAACTTCTTATTTTTGAGCTATCTGGAGCACCGACCCGTCTTCCAAATAGACATACAGAGGGAGATAAAGTAAAACTTGAACGGTGCATGGTTGACGTGCTCAATGACCATCTGGAAGATTATAAAATATGTGATATTGAGGTTGCTAAGAAACTCCGAGTGTTCGGTTTTCAAACTGATGAAAGTAAAGTTTTACCCTTTCTGTTGCAATTGTTGTTTTTGTTATTTCACACTTTTGAAATTTAACACATAATTTGTTATTTATAGAATATAATTGCTCTATTTCAACTGCATATATTGTTGGTCGTGGATTATATTGCAAAAAAACGTTGTTCCAGTTTTCATTGCCAAGAAGAGTGTTGGACTTATGCTATTTGTATAATATTATTGGGGTCATGCTTTCTTTCAGAAATGAATTATCCAATTCATTGAATGTTATACAGAAACTCAAGATTGCAAAAACTCGTGAAATTGTTTCTGATGACCCAATCAGTAGTTACATGTTGCGGTTGCCACCCTCATGAGCTAGATTGTTGTTATGAAGATAAAAAGAAATTGGTATAATCAAATAAATCATTGTTATATAGTTTATTTACCTCTGGATATGATAATAATTTATGATTTTATGATTATTCAGTGTCTTTATGATATTAATAAGGTTTTGTTTATGAATGTGGTCTTATTCTTTTTAGTACATACTGTGCTCAGTACATTGAAAAAATAAAGCATTTTAATTTACCCGATGTGGGTAAAAACCTTTCTTAATAATATCTTTGATAGGGTACTTCTAACAACTTTAACTCGAGCACACATCAATACTCAACCTTATATGTATCAACTATACATGGGATGGTAATTATTTTGCCAAAACGTAATATTAATATGTAATTAATTACATTAAATACGAAATTAATTACAGGTGATAAAATTAATTACAATCCCATGTATAGTTATGGTTGGTCTTGTACAATTCTCGATCATTACTGAAGCTGAGAAAAAAAGGTGGATATAAAATGTTTCCATAACGAATTAGAAAGAGATATAGTTCTGCGGTAAAGATCCTAAAAAATATATAAAATTGACAGATAGATATAGGTTAATTAATGAAGAGTTATTACGTTACAATATTCTAAAGAGTGGTTCAAATACTAAGTGACTCGATAATCTTATGGAAGAATGAAAAAAACCATAATCAATTCATACAAATTTTTAGCTAGACTTGAAGCAGATACTTTGTAACCAGTCCTGCTTTTCACAGAAACATTTTGTCAATTAGTGTCCACAAAAATTTAAATCTCGAATAAAACATGGAGTCAACATCCACAAAATTTAACATTGTTAATGACCATCAAAAAACATGATTCCATATCCCATAGGAGGATCTTGTAATAGTTTTCTTGATTAAAATCGTTCGAAAGTATTGTCAGAAGTTTAATTCACTTCTCACTATTATTTCTCACTCGGAATTATATTCCAATTTATTTTCTAGAGAAAATAACTTAATTACGTTCCTCTCCTTTATTGATCTTTTTCATGTCTTATTTATATAAAATTACAGTTATTAAATAATAATAAAATACATTGTAATAAATAGAACCATATGTTTCCCCGGGGTTCTTAAAATAGATTTAGGAAACATAATTAATAAAAGTTAATGTTCTCCAGCATCTTTTAATTTCGCTAAATTAATGAACAAACATGTAACTGGTTAACTAATCGAAGCTATTAATTAACATTCTATTTAACGTGCGTTGCGTTTTTTAACTAATATTTTTCTATGTTACACATTTGTCATTGATTAACAAATAAAAAAAAAAAATAAATCGAAAAATTAGTCATACTACTACTACATGGTATTTTTTTTTAACCCGTTACAGATCTTCACTTTATTAATAAAAAAAAAACGTTTTTCAAAAAAAGAAACTCTCTATAGATATTATTTTTTTTTTCAAAATCAAAAAAAAAGAGATAAAATATTGTAATGGACAATTTTTGCTGCAACCTTCAAATGGTTAATATCAAGTTTCGGAAATAATAAAATACATTTTTTATTTTTGCAACAAACATCTTCAATTAAATATAATTATTTAATTAATCATTGATTAATTTTGATTCTAAGTAGGATTTTTTTTCTTTGTGATCTTAATATATACCTTATTGTTTTGAAATCAGGTTCCTTAAAAAATTTCCATTTATGCATGGTCTTGGTATTATTTATTACTTGGGTGATGCAATTCATTAATCTTTTGCAAATTAAAGAACAATATTATGAATGTTGTAAAAGACATGTATGTATACAACAGTGGAGGCAAAGATATCATTCATGTTTAGGGAAAGGACTAAAAAGCTAAGTCAAGTTTATTTTTTTTCATTCAACTAAAATATAGAAAAATATATAATCATTTAAAGAAAATCACTTTTTAAATTGTTGCTAATGAAAATAAAATATTACAAACATTTATTAATTTTTTGCCTTTTTAAATATTTTGTTTTTTGATTGGTCTCATCTCTCTCTATCTCTCTTTCTCTCACCCCAATTTTAAAAAACCCACAAAGTGAACATAAAATTATATATATATAGGGATAAGTGTATATGAAAAGTATTAACAAAAGTAATAAATACAATGGTTCTAATGAATATCAAAAAGCAATTGATTTTTTAGAAAAAGGATGCAGTTGTGATTGTTCTTCAAGAATTCCCAAGGAGAGATTTGCAGAATCAAGAGAATCCTTTCAAGCTCTTTCTAAGTCTGAACAAGACATATTTTTAATGGCTCAACTTAAAGCAATGGATGGTGGATCAACAAGTACTAGTAGACGCCTTAAAAAGAAAACTAGATCTAATAAAAGAACTTTCTATCACTGAGATCACAATACACTTCTTTGTCAAGAAACTTATCTCAATATGCTAGGGATTGGTAGAACTTACTTAGAAAATATTAGAAATCATCTAATAAACAATGGTCTTTTACCAAGAATTCATGGTAACATAAAAAGAATGCCTCAATGGAAAGCTAAAATGGTGATTGACAAAAGTGTTGCTGAAGTAGTAAAGAATTTTCTAGAAAATTATGCAGAAGTCCATGGATTACCAAGTCCAGGAAGAAGTATCA